TGGCCTGCTGCACTGGGCTGTAATTACCCAAACAATGACAATCTGTTGAAGACAAGCATCCTCTCCCATCCCCCAAACACACAACACTCCCCAAATGGAAGCTTGGCATCCAGCACCGTAACTGCTAAATTTCCACATGTGGTTCTATCCTGGGCAACGGTTCCAGTAGGTGGACATAGTCTCTATGCTTGGGGTGGTACGATGCGTTGTTCTATGACGCCAAGTAAAAGCCAGTAAAAAATGGCTATGCTGTTGTCAGCTGAGAAGGTCGAAACCACCAGGAGAAAATTATAGAACATATGCTCTGGGGGCCTTATTTGTTTTCATCTAAATGTTCAATTTTGAGAAGTTGGTGTCTGTAGAAAGCAAACAGCACATTCTATGGTCTGGATTTTCAAGATGGATCTTTGTATATTTCATGTCCTTTCTATCCCATGAAAATGAATGTATGAGTACAAATTAATGTGTTTGAAATATTGCCACTTTATGGTTTATTAAATGTGTATTGGAAGATGCTAGATTTTATAGACTGAAGAGGGCTCTTAAATTCAGAAGGTAAAGAACTGAGAATGAGCCCAGCTATTCCCCTATTTCCAGTGAATACTAAAGGAAAAAAAATAGGTCACATTAGAGCAGTGGTTTCTGGGCATGGTCTCTAGGCTGGCAGCATCAACAGTACCTGGGAACTTGTTAGGAAAATAAGTTACTGGACCCTTGGACCCCACTATCCAGAATAATGATCAGAAACGTGTTTTAACAGCTCCTCCAGGTTACTAGGGGCGCCTGCTCAGGTCTGAGACCTTCTGCACTAGAACCGTGGCTCTTCACACAAGCTTACAGTTAGCATCGCCTGGTCATCATCAACTTCTCATTGAAATGCCCCCACAAACCCCAGACCAATTCAATTGGAATACTTGGGACAGGGGTCTAGGTACTGCTGCTTTTGATGCAGGATTTTTCTTCTCAGTCACTTTGCAAGCCGGGGACCCCAAGCCAGTACACCCTGTCCAAGACTCTCTCAGCCCATCCACCTATGTTATAGCTTGTACCCAGGTTCAGTGATTTCTGATCTCTTATGCCACAACCAAGAAGAATGAGGATATGTGGGGCACTGAAGGGTGAGCAGGGCATAGAATAATTTTCCTGAGCAATGAAAACAGCTTTCAGCAGAGAGGGGACAAGCGGGGGCTGGAGGGGGAGCACTGGTTCCCCTACCCCAAGGTGGGAAAGTTGCCCCCCCACCCCTCCCCGCACCTTGTGTGACTGGTCAAGGGCCTTTTATGGACTCTGAATGGGGAGTGCTGATTGGTTTGTGAGTAGGCAAAAAAAGGTTAAAGCGAAGACACCACTCAAAATAGGGCATGACAGTGTAGAAAACCAGTTAGGAAAAGGTAAGTATACGTAAAATAAGTGAAGGGTGGGGATCAATCAGAGGAAACTGTGCCAAATGCTAAGACAAGTTCTCAATCGGGTTTGAGGATTTAACATATAGCTTGGCTTTCAGGTTTGAAACTGGAGATGGAGTTTCACTGGGGACCCGCCCCTATCTGCCTATGCATTTCGCTGCCTCCTTCTGTTTTCACTTTTAGAAAGCTCCCCAGGTGGTTTGTAATCTCGGCACTTTGGGAGGCCAAGGCAGGAGGATCACTTGAGGTCAGGGGTTTAGGACCAGCCTGGGCAATATAGTGAGGCCCCTATCTCTATAAAAAATAAACAAATAAATTAGCCAAGTGTGGTGGCCAGTATCTATAGTCCTAGCTATTTTGAGAACCGCTATATACTATGATATGAGAAATTGAGATAAGGTACTTTTGGACTCTGGTTTTCATTTTAGCTCAAAGTAATCATGGCTACTAAATGCCTCCTATTCATTGAGGAAACTTTTGAGAAGAGAAGAGATTTCCATCTTCATGAACCGGAGAGGTGAGATGTGAAGCTCACCAAAAGCATCAAAATTTGTACCACATTCAGTGGTGATAACAGTGTTTAATAACTCATCCAGCAAAGACAGTTGCTCACCCAGAGAAAGGGCTGGGTTAGTCCCCACAGTCAGAATTCATTATAAAAGCACTGCACTCAGAGGTGGGAAAGAGTGACACACACCTCCCACACACCTCAAGTCCAGATGCCACAATCCCCCACGGGGAGCTCAGAGCCTCCCACTCACTTCTTGGCTTTGAAGCCCCAAGTACTGAGGGTATGTGAGACAGCAGCCTCTTCTCACCAGTGTCTGATGTCAGAGAATGTGCAAAATGATGACAGCCTGTCAGGGTAGAGCTCCTGGGGGCCACTCCCCTGGGATGCGCAGAGCCTCAGCATCCTGCTTTACAAACAACTGTGAACTGGGGCCATCTCTGTACCAACCCTGGAACTTGACAATTTGCACATTATAACTGGGTCCCTCAAACTGGGGTACACTGGTGTACTCCCAAGGATCCATATTTTTTCCCATTAAAAGGGATCTGAACATTATTAAAATGTAAAAAACATTGCAGATTGGCTTTTCAACAGAAAGAGGCAAATTTTGTTTTTTTAGAGATAATCAGGGTCTGCTCTGTCACCTGGGCTGAAGTGCAGTGGCAAGATCATGGCTCATGGAAACCTCGAACTCCTGGCCTCAAGAAGCCACCCACCTCAGCCTCTCCAGCAGCTAGGACTATGGGTACATGCCACCACACCCGGCTAACTTGTTTTCATTTTTTTTTTTTTTTTTTTTTTTTGGAGAGACAGAGGTCTTCCTCTGTCCAGGCTGGTCTGAAACTCCTGGCCTCAAGTAATCCTCCTCCCTGGGCCACCCAAATTGCTGGGATCACAGGCACAATCACCTTTCCTGATTGAGGCAACATTCTGTAGGATGTCACCACAGAAATGATGGGCAAACCCTCATGTTTCTATACTATGAGTAAGACTGAAATCTCCCTTTAAAAAAGAAAATTTTGAAGATTAAATAGTTGAGACTGGAACCAGCTCAACAGCTGGCTACTGAATGTGCTTATAGAAACATCATCATCTCTAACCTCCTCACCTGAATGAATCCTGAATATCTAAGCTCTTGGATATTATACTCTCTTTCCATTAAATAATGTGGGAATAGAAAAAGAAAGAGAAGACAAAGACCTTGCCTTTGTATCCCCTTTGCCTGTGATTACACAGAGTCTGAATTAGACTGACCTGGGTTTGAATTTTGACCCTGATATTTATTTGCTCAATGTATTTGGCCTTGAATGCTAATGAAGTCTATGAATTTCAGGTTTTTCATCTCTAAAATGGGAATAATAAGCCTTAGTATCTAAGATCAGGGTGAACAGAGAGAAAGTGGAGATTGCATTTAGCACAGTGCCTAGCAAACAACAAAATAAGTAGAGCTATAGGCTGGATGTGGTGGCTTACGCCTGTAATTCCAGAACTTTGGGAGGCCAAGGCGGGCGGATCACAAGATCAGGAGCTTGAGACCAGCCTGACCAACATGGTGAAACCCTGTCTCTACTAAAAATACAAAAAATTAGCCAGGCATGGTGGCGCGCCTGAAATCCCAGCTACTCAGGAGGCTTAAGCAGGAGAATCGCTTGAACTCAGGAGGCAGAGGTTGCTGTAAGCCGAGATCACACCACTGCACTCTAGCCTCAGTGACAGAGCGAGACTCCATCTCAAAAAAATAAAATAAAGTAGAGCTATGATCACTGATTATTTGCCACTGAACACTAGCTGATGTTTCACTCCTTTGTGTAGGCTTCCTTGACAAAAATGTCCCCCCTCCCACACATGTACATATCCTTTGTAGCTCTTGTACCCCAAATATGCATCTAGATTTCAGCCATTATATATTAGGGACAGGTTTTCTTGTTCCCAATGCCCAGCACACACTGGGTATATCATATGTATTAATACCTCCGCATGAATGAATGAATGAGGAAAGCTAATGCATTATTACATAGTGGTAAGACAATAAGTGGCTTAATTGGGATGGTAAAAGTAGAAAGAGACAGGAGAGACAGCACGCAAGCAAACTGATCATAATGGTTGACTATGGATCTGACCAGTAAAAGAATGTTGCTCTGCAGAGTTTTCGAATTACAGTCAATCTTAGACACAGTTCATTCAGAAAGCTCTTCTCTGAGGATGTTCTAGGAAGGAGGGAGAAAGGGGCAATGCTCACACAAACACGTAGAAAAAAATGTATTGGTTGTTTGGGTCTGTGTAGTACTCTGAAGCCAGTCCCATCTAAAGACTGAGAGCATCCTGGACATTACTTAAGGACAAAGAGGAGCTGCCAGAGGAACCTGGGTCAAATCAATAACCCTCCTTCCCTCTTCCAATGCTTAAGACTTCTAGGCCTGTGTCTAATTGCTACCTCTCAGGCTCCATCTGGCTTATCTTCTGCAGATTCAGCTCTTTGGAAGCCCTCCACTTACTCCCACTGAGACTTTCCTTTGGTTTCTATCCCCGCCTAATCTCTGAATGACGTCTACAAAACACATAATGACTTCACGGCCGCAGGCATCTCCCCGCCAGCATCCCACTCCACGCCCTATCTCTGGAATCTGGGTGCAGGCAATCTACCCATCCAGGAGGACACTTAATCATTTTTGCCGTTTCAGAAGGTAACTGGAGAAAAAAAAACCCAAGTAAATCAGCTAAGAAAGCAGACACGAGTTTTCTTGGCCATCTAGGCATAGGAAACTCCTCCTCCCACCCCTGCAAACCAGGGCGTGAGTACATGGACAAGCCATCTAAAAAGGCTGCAATAATGTCTATACCCACATTCTGAGAAAGCCTGGCCAATAAGACGCATGGTGACAAAATGCTACACGATTAACTCCAATCCCCTAGCTATCCTTCACAACCATGGGGGTTAGTCACAGGAAAAGTAGGCCTGCAGAGCAAGCCATTGACTTTTATCTTTAGACTCCAGCTGCTATCCATCAGCATCAATATTTTACAATTTAATCAACTCAGCCCTAGTCGGAGTCTAAGATATCTACATCATCAGGAGGACTCACCGCATCCTGATAGCTAAGGACCTCCAGGATGCTGTTGAGCAATTCAACGCAGTACTTCTTCTCCAGGACCTGGTGCTGCATCTCATCCTTCTGCTCCAGCAGCTCCTTCAGCTCTTTGGTGATGACAGGAAGCAGAATGTCCCGGCATTCTGGAATAAAGACAGTTCAGAGGCATGTAGAATTCCTCATTTTTTAGTTTTTTTTCTTCCATATATGCATATAATTTTTCATTAAATAGTTAATGAAGACATTCTCCTTGTAAAAAATAAAAATATTAAAGATTAGGTTAAGATTTCTTGAGAACATCGTTCACAATTCTAGTCCCTTTTCTAACCCTTCCTACCCAGAGGCAACCAGTTATTTTATTCAGTACATTGTAATATATTCTATAAATCTTATATATACACATACATATAAAAATGTGCCATATGAAATATCTAATGTTATTTTAATTTTGCATTTCATTTAAGGAAGTCATATCATATTGTGATTATAAACTTCCAAGATCCTTTTATCTGATTTTACTTGTGTGTTTATCAGTATAAAACATATGGTGTTATTTTTGCTTTGTTTCCATTTTATACCAGGGGACCAATATATATATATTACTCTGAACCTTGATTTTTTTTTTCAGTCACTAATATTTCTTGGGGCACTTTATTATTACATTTGGGGACCAGCTTATTTTCTAACCATTTTATAGTACTCTCTATTATGGATGTATGTGTCTATTCAGCCATACCTGTACTACTGGACAGTTTTCACTGGTACAGACAGTACAGAATGAAAAACTTTTACTTGCATCCTTGTGCACACTGCTTTCATTTGCCAGCCTGGCCAACATGGTGAAACTCCATCTCTATTAAAAATACAAAAAGTAACTGGGTGTGGTGGTGTGCGCCTCTAATCCCAGCTACTTGGGAGGCTGAGGCAGGAGAAGCACTTGAACCCATGAAGTGGAGGTTTCAGTGAGCTGAGATGGCGCCACTGCACTCCAGCCTGGGTAACAGAGGGAGACTTTGTCTCAAAAAAAAAAGAGAAGTAAATTAAAACTTTTGCAGAGAATGGTATGTCTCTTGACATTGTTGTTTCAGGGAAATTTCTGGAAGGTTCTGAAGCCCTTTGCAGCTTTGTCTCCATATTTCCCTTGAAAACAGAAAATCTTGAGGGATCAAAAAAAAAAAAAATCCAATAATGTGTCAAGCTGTCCCCACTCAGTTGCTGCTTGAGCTGCAATATGAATCATACATACCAGGATTTCATTTTAATTCAATCCAACAAATAGATGTTGGACATAGTTAATGCAGAAGATACTCTCTTTATGGAGATACAGAGATAAGATGTGGTTCTTGCCCATTAGGTACTTAAAAACTGACAGAGGTGATTACAGAAGAAAAAAAAAAGGCAAAAACCAATGAGCAATGGCAAAAATTAGAATAAAACAAAGGTTGGAAGCGGTAGAGGACATCTCTTATTCTGTCAGCTCAAGAGTTACACCCACTCCTTCTGGCACAGCACTCTGACTGTACACGGGGGAGCCATACTGCCATGGGCTATAATCCTGAGAAGCTGTTATAAGGCTCCTCTCCTTCCCTTGGAGAAGGGCTGGACACCTGACCCCAATTAGGATGGCCTCCTGAAATCTGAATCTTGAGGGAACTTTCATAATAGTAACTGCCAATGTTACTAATACACGGTATATTGAGTTCTTACAATATGCTAGGCACCGTTGCAAGTGTCTTGCATGAATCATCTCAGTAAATTCTCCAAGTGACTAAGGGAGGTAGATTCTATTATTTTACCATTTTGCTGCTGAGGAAACAAAGGGACTCGTCATGTGTACACGGCAAGTAAGTGGTAAATCCAGCCCGACTGCAGAGACTGTGCTCTTAAGCACTACATGAAATGTGCAGTCTCAGCTGGGTATGGTGGCTCACGCCTTTAATCTCAGCACTTTGGGAGGCCGAGGCAGGTGGATCACTTGAGGTCAGGAGTTTGAGACCAGACTGGCCAAAATGGTGAAAGCCCATGTCTACTGGAAAAAAGAAAAAAAGCAAAAACTAGCTGGTGGTGGGCACCAGCTACTGGAGAGGCTGAGGTAGGAGAATAGTTTAAACCAGAGAGGAGGAAATTACAGTGAGCTGAGATCACACCACTGCACTCCAGCCTGAGCAACTGAGCAAGACTCCATCTCAAAAAGAAAAAGAAAAAAGAAATGTGCAGTTTCTTGGGCTCTGCTGTTATCACAGAAGTACCCCAAGGAGGCTGCCCAGGGGTGCATGCTGAATCCCCTCTCCCTCCAAGATTCTGATGCTCTCCTCTCTGATGACTAGTTCCCCAGCATTTCCTCTGATTCTATGGATTATTCCCTTTCTTCTAAATACATTTGTTTTTACTTAAATTTACCAGACTAATCGTTGGGACTCTTCAGTTTCAAGGAACAGACTCTTTCTTTCTTGAAACTGAAGAGCCCCAACTAATAGTCACAAAACACCCTGAGGGCTTCAGAAGCCCTCTCATGAGCTCTGGTTTGAAGCTTCACAGAAGACTTTATGGGATCTAATAGAATATGTTCTCTCAGAGCCCAATCTCAGCTTTTAATTAAATTCCAATAAGTGTAATTAATATCTATTCATCCCACTAAAAAGTAAGCTCTATGAGAGCTGAACTAAAATTCAAGTGCCTGGTATTGTACCTGGATCATAGAAGTGAGTCAGTCAATCTTGGCTGCATGAAAGGAGGAGGCAGCATTTGAGATAGTCCCTGACCAGTGGATAATATTGCAACAGGAAGAGTGAGGATTTAGAGAGCACTGGGTGATTCAGAGAACATAAATATAGGGTTACTTGTACATTCTCTTGGAAGTAGAATAATGCAAGATAACACTTAAGTGTTCTTAATTGCAATGGAAGTGTCAGTACTATGGAAACAGAAAATTATAGACGTCAAGAATGTTGATTCTGCTTTGCTGAAAATCGTAGATAAAATCGTTGGCCATGGCCTTTATGACGCTTATGAGAAATGCAACTGAAGATATTGTTGGGACTGGGCATGGTAGCTCACATCTATAATCCCAGCACTTTGGGAGGCTGAGGAAGCAGGATAACTTGAGCCCAGGAGTTCAAGACCAGCTTGGGCAAGATAGGAAGACCCAATCTCTGCAAAAAATCTAAAAACTAGTTGGGCATAGTGATGCATGCCTGTAGTCCCAACTACTCAGGAGGCTGAAGTGGGAAGATCACTTGAGCCCAGGAAGTAAGGGCTGCAGTGAGCCATGATCACACCACTGCATGCCAGCCTGAGCGACAGTGAGACCTTGTCTCAAAAGAAAAAAAAAGAAAAAAGAAAAAAACTTGTTGACCTAAGGAATTTGAGAGTACAAGACATTGATTAGCAACTACCCTTTGTTTAGAAAGATTAGGGGGAAAGTTGGAGAAAATATATCAATTAACCTATTACTTTATCAATTACCCTATTACTTAAATATTTAGTCCATATCTTGCCATCACAAAGTTTTTCATCCAGAAGTATTTATTAAGCAGGGCAAAAAAAAATATCTTACAATGTTCATTAAAAAGTTTATTTTAAAGTTATCTTCTCTCTTTTTTTTTTTCTTTTGCCTGGCTAAAAGTTATCTTCAAAAGGACTTAAACTTGTAACTTTGCAATGTGTTGTTTGCTAGAGAGAAATTAAGTGTTGGAATGCTTGCTGTAGAAAAACGAGGTGAGTTCATCTGAAGTGGTAAATGCTTTGTCATTGGAAGATGAATAACTTCCCTAACTTAATGATACTTAACTTCCCAATTATGCCTTCACTGATGTTGTGATAATTAAATCCAGCCAGAAGATAAAAATTGTGTATTATCTTATTAAGTTAGATAAAGGTGGTAAAGTCTTCCTCTTTGAAAAGTAGAATCAAAGATTCTTGAAAAGGAGATTTAAAATGCAACAGAAAGTCTTGTTTTTCCACAGTTCTCCAGGCAAAAGGGAGTTACCAAAAGCTGTGCCTTCAGGAAATCTGTGTCACTGCAGTGAAGATGCCATGATGACGACAATCCAGGTGATGACAATGAGTGTAAGAGTGTGGGGGTTGTCCCCTAGATTCCTAGCTTCTGACATAATGTATTTGGATTCTGTTGAAGCTAAAGATTTGATAAGCCCTTGAAGCAAGGTAGTAAGAAACAAATCAAAAGTGTTCAATTGCCTTGAGCTTAAAGTGCAAGAAGACTATGTTTTAAGGCTTAAAATAGCTTTCTGTGACTCAAGATTAAAAATTATTTAAAACTCTCCCCAACTGTAAAATGAGATCAGTAGGACCTACAGGAAGGAGCTATGAAAAGGCAGATCAAGAGCTAACCCATTCATGCATTTAATTAACTCATTCATTCCATCAGTCAGCCATTCTACACATTTATTGAAGGCTTACTATGTGCCAGTCACTATTCTGGGGTGGAATGGAATGACCAGGGGTTAACTACCCATCACTGCACAGAGCCAACAGAAGTAAGAAGCAGACTTGAGTAGACAGGAATAACACTTAGTCTTAAGAGTAGCAACTTATTAGGAGTGATCATAAAACAGAGCTATAGAACAACTGAGGTCAGGTTTTTCCTTAAAACGTCATTCTGTTAGCACTGTAGTTGAGATACCTCATATAAATCCCATTACTAAGATATGAATCCAAGGGAAAAAGCCACTTGGGAGATTTTAGATATGAAAGATGTCCTTGGGAAGTCACTGGTATTTAAATCCTACTTAAAGTTGAAATAAACTAGTAGATTTTTTCATGGAAAAGTCTGGTAGTGAATTCTCCATCCCTAGAAGTATTCAAGTAGTGGGTTGCTGTCTATGGATAGGCACGAGGAAGAGGTAAAGTATCATATGAAGGGTTGAACTGAATGATTGTTAAGGCCACATCCAAAATTCCAGGATTCTATAAAACGTAGCTTCCGAGCAAGTCGCAGGAGGAAGGATATATTTGCTAGGTGGAAAGACAGTGGACTTGTTTGCCTTGCTCACAAAGTACTGAGGCTGTGGGAGCTGCAGACCAGGCCCCAGGAGAAGCAATGGTTTATCAACCTGAAAGGTAGCAGCTTTACAGATTCTCAAAACCAGCATCCCCATAAGATGAAGGTTCATGGTTTGGAGAG